AGCATCCAGTTACGTTTTCGATTTTGCAGAATTCCCAGTAAAGTGTCTCTTCCAAATCCATTGCCAGAGTTTACTGTTTCAACTTTGCAAGACAGCTAGAGAAAGCCTGAAGAGTAACTAACAGTAGTTAACCACATTTTCCTGGTCATAGGACAGACAACAAGAACATCCTTACCATTAACTCTCTGAAATGCTGGCACAAATTTCGATTGAATCCTCTGGACTGGAGGGAAAGTTGCTGGGCCCAATTGTTCAAACAGATCTTTGCAACAAACTTGCAAGGGTTGGCCAAAGTAATCCTTATTGGGATGATTCTAATACCACATGAAATATGCTAATAAAAACGGTTTGTACACTCCGGCAACACAGACATTGTCTCAAATAAACTTAATGTAGTCTGCTCGTGGCTCCCACAAACTGGTATCAACAAGTCCGCCTGTTGAAACCCATGACGCTAAAATGTAGGAGGAACAAATGGACCTAGACGTCCATGAGCCATACTGTTCGCCACCAACTTCCACGGCAGAAAACCTTTCAAAACTTTTGGTTACAGTTTCCTCCTGCACAGCTACATTCAGCGTCTTGTACATTTCCGTGAGATAACTGACTCCAGGCTTGACGGTGGCAGGTAGTGGTAGACAGAAATTTCATTCCACAGGTGGGTACTTTCAACTGAGCCATAGCACAAGGAGGCAAGAGGATGGAACGACTGAACAGGTTTAAATTCTGTCTCTCCAAGCCTTCCCAACTGGTTTGTGCGTTGAAAAAGGGGTCCAAAATCACTCTGAAAAGAATCTGGAAAAGCTACTTCTTGAACAGTTTGGTCACGAAGAAATTTTCTCATAAACTGGAGCTCATTCGACCAATTATTTCTCTGAAAACTTCCCATTAAGCCGTTGTACCGTTTAACGGAAAAAAGCCAGAAAGCATAAGTGGGACTAAAGTCTAGCACACTTTCACAAAGATGAGTATGCATGCACATGTTCAGTGTCACACTCTGCACCATAGAGCCTTTTGAACTTCACACAAAATGTCTTTAAAAGTGAGTCGACTTTATTACGTCACTGATGGTAACAAATGTTCTGCAAAGTAGCTTGCACGCAATAACAAAAGCCCTCCACACTTCTAAGTGTTCATCTGGAAGTTCTCCTTTCAATGCGTAAATTGACATTACCAGAGTCCAGGTCTTCCACTGGTCTGCAGTGAATCCTCCAAAGCTAATGGATATTTTGTTTGGCAACCTTCCAAGACTTAAGGGAAATCGGACATTGTCTACTTTATCTTGAATTTTCTTTAACTGACCATCATTTGGCAAGAAATTAGGACTGCTAAGCCAAATGTTTTGCATAATGTGCTTTGCACTACCCAAGAATAGATTATGCATGGGATCTACGATAGTGAATCTAACACAATCGAAGTAAGGGAGGTGCATCAGTTCAGTATAACGGGTGCCATGTTTGCTTTCTACCTCCTGTCTTTCCGTTACGGTTGACAGGTTCACGGTTTCCTGCACTTCCTGCGGTGTTCTTGATTACATCTACTTTTGCATTTATCGAAGCCGGAGTAATCCCTCTTCTCTCCAAAGGTACCATCGAAAACTTTCTTACACTTGCTGTAAGCTTTATGAGCTGCCATGCTGAGGAATTCACTCACCTGAATTAACAGATAGTGTCAGTTAATGGGAGGTTTAGCATCTAACAAGCAAGGGGAGGGAGGCGGCCTAATAACCAAAATGATGGCTTAGTAAAGAGACTGGCTCATTATAGTTTCCAGTATTTTGCAACCTTGATACTTTGATGAGTCGTAATACCACTGTAAATCAACTGCTGTTGTAAGTTGTGGCCATTTGCTTCACATAATTTGTAACCATAGCAAATGTATATCCATTAAAACACCCTTACTTTAGCTTACAGTGCCAAGAACTCAACTCAGTGTTTTTAATGGGTTATAGTTACAGCTTATCTCGTACCCTTTTGCCTAGCCATGGGAGACCTGGGTTCACCAATCATCAGATCATCAATCATCAATTGTCTCACAGCATTATTTTAACATTGTAGACCCAAAACAAACCGGCATCAAATGGACTTGGGTCTGCATTTTTTAAAGTAACTGGGTGACAATAGACATAAGAGAAAAGGGGAAAAAGTTATAATACCTACCTAGCTTCTGGTAGATCCAAGGCAACGCACAGAAGAGTGCCTTTAATAATTTTGTCACCAAAGTGCCAAATTGGTCCATAACTATAAAAGTTCGTCCACCATACGAGACAGATACGTGTTGATCGACTTAGAAGGTTCGTGTGGTCCCGGGATCACACCAACAAGGATGACACTTTCAACTTTGAAAGATTCATGTCTAGGAAGGTTCATTATCACAAGGTAAAGAACTCCAACACTGTATCTAGCAAGCGTAAAAGGTTGGAACTAGTCTACGTTTAACATCATTGGAAGAGACCTGTCTCCAGCAAGGAAAGGTTCTCCCCCAACAAACAAAATGTCGCGCCACACCTTTCCATCTAACACATCTGCCAGAATGTTGGAAGATGAACAGAAATCGCATCCCACCTTCCACGAGTTGCATTTTAACCAAAAATCCAAAAAGGTGTTAGCATGTCTAAAATACGCTTGTAACTGTATACTTTATGTGGGTACAACTTAGTGTTACCATCTTTGAGTGTCACCTCCTTTAGAAGATAACCCCTGTTAAGTTCGCCACATGTTGCTTGGAACCTTCCTGTTTTGTGGTTTGGAAAAGGATGATGAGAACATTTCTTCTGGATTCGTCGGCTACCAAGGGTAGAGAAAAAGTGCGAGAAATTATACAAGGAGTGGCAGTTTGGGCAAACAACGTACTTCATAAACCTTTCTAGGCCAAGTCCAAGTCTCCTGTGCTAAAAGTAAACTGAGGTCGGCAGGAACATGACAACACCACCAAACCAAGGAGCATAGTGTTGGCAAATGGTGAACAAAGTATTAAAAAAACCTGAGCATAAGCTCTAACGCATTATCTGATATCTGGAATCTGGAAGTATGCCAGCTCACCAGTATTCTTCTCTCCCGAATGAAAATTCCCGCCATTTTCAAATTCTCCCACAGTGCAATCTGTCAGAGCTGGATAAAATGTTTTATGCATGAACTCGAAAAGAATGTTTGGAAAAAGAAGTTTTAGCTCCCAATGTTATGATAAATACGAGTTAACGACACCAAAATCTTTGTGAGGGACACATTGAGGCCAGATGAGTTGTGCAAGATTGTAATTTATGAATACAGGTGCACAAGAAAATAATTAAATTAGAACTGAAATAATCATCTCTGAAGTGTAACACTACATGATCTGAGGTGTGCATATCATTACCACAACATGTAATGAAATGTTTTTATCCAATGGAGGTAGAGGTTTTGAAAAAGTTGTCCTCTATGAAAACAAGTTTACAATTAAGGACATCACATTAAAGTGTCCCTAAGGACATGTTTAAATTTCTGTTGCCTGACATATATATTTTACAATTTGTAGATTTCTTTAGTCATAAATAAAAAAAAATGCATAAAAATGTTCAATAGCCCTTTTTATAGTTCCCAGCACCATATTGGAATAGTAACCTCACAAACACGATAACAAGGCTGAGGTTGACTCGTGTTGTAACTCAAAGAGAGATTTCAGGGTGTAAGGTTGTTTTCAACGATTTTACTCGCAAATGGACGGCACTAACAGCACTCAGAGTAGCTCTGCTGCTTCTACTAAAAGAAAAGGGAAGTAGTGTGCTGCTTTTGGATGTTTGAATGCATTTTATGGAGCAGATGGCTCACCAAGACATTTTCATTTCTTCCATTTTCCGAGGGACGCCAAGCAAAGGAGTCGATGGTGCAACAGTATCAAATGGCAGCATGGAAAAGATGGCTTTTTGTAACAAATTCAACCGTGGTTTGCTCTAAGCACTTTAGAAAAGAAGATGTGCGTAAGAGTTTGACGGGTTGCTGGTTCTTAGTGCTAGGTTTGTTATTTAGCATTTGTTTATGTTTGACTCCTGTGTGCTACATATGGTTGTTATTTTACAAGGACAAATTTAACTGAATTCCACAGTGAATCCACTGTTCAGAGACCTAGATGTAAAATCTCTTGTAGAATCTGGTATAATCATGGCACTTTATCATAAAATTTATTTATTTACAATACGAAAACAATTAAAATATATATGCATTATACAAGTTCATGTAGGTAACAGAAGAAAATTGTAGCCATTAGGAGATCTCTAAAAGAGGCAACAGACCTTGACCACCTAGATCTCATATAATAAAAAGGTGTATCCAAAAATATGTATGTATACAAAGAAAAGAGGAAGCATTTTTAAAGATGTATCCAAAAATATGTATGTATAGCAAGAAAAAAAGAAGTATTTTTATAAAAACCTCTTTTGCTATTTTGTGTCTAGGTGCTGAACCCTCACAATTTTCACGGACAGAGGAAAATTATCAAATACAAATGCAGATGTTGAAACTGAGGATTTGTATAGTGAAACTGCTTCATTAGATGGTGATGCACAAGCTACACCAGACTCTACACCAGAAGCTATTAAAAACACTACCAGTTGACCCAGAAGTGGACATGGTTAAATCATTGCTTGAGAGGATTGCATTGTTAGAACAGCAAGTCTCCTCGTATGAGGAAAAAATTACCTGACTAGGAAAAGAAAATGCAGATTTGTTGGCACGTCAATTTTCTCCAGACAAGATAAAGGATGACAATGCAGCCATCATGTTTTACACTGGTTTTCCAAATTATGAGACTTAAATGAGCTTTCATCATTATGTAGAACCAAAACTTCAAAAAATGCAATATTAGAAAGGAGCAAAGCACTTGAAGGCAAATCAGTCTTACCAAGAAAAAGACATGAACAAACCTGGTCCTTCAAGGAAACTTTCACACCTTGATGAATTTCTTCTTCTTTTAATGAGACTGAAGGCAGGACTATTTGTCCAAGATCTTGAAGATAGATTTGGAATCAGCATCAGCCTTGTGTCACACATTTGCATCACATGGATAAATTTGCTTTATTTAGAACTAAATGACATATTTCCTTTCCCATCTCAGGAACTTGTGCGCAAAAACATGCCTCAGGAGTTTGCTGAATACCCCACGACAAGAATTATTTGGGATTGTAGCAAAATATTTATTCAACGGCCATCTGCGATGCTTGTGCAATCTGAAACATGGTCAGAGTACAAACACCATAACACTTGGAAAGTGTTAGTTGGAATTACCCCAAATGGTCAGGTATCTTACCTGTCACACTTGTGGGGTGGGAGGGTATCTGACAAGCAAATTACTCGGGAGAGTGGTGTTCTGGACTTGTTGGATGCAGGGGACAATGTAATGGTTGACCGAGGTTTTGACATTTCAAACATTGTGCCTGATGGTGTCACTGTTAACATGCCACCCTTTTTGGCTGGAAGGGACCAAATGACTGCGGCCAAGACAGAGGAAACCACGAGTATTGCTTCTGTCTGCATACACGTCGAACGTGCAATTGGGAGAATGAAAACATACCACATATTAGATGGCACACTTCCGAACACATTAAGCCCATATGCTATGCAGATAGTCACAGTTTGTGGTTTATTGACAAACTTCCTTCCTCCATTATTAAAACCTGCTGACCCTTAGGAATTTTCTTTTTGCACTGTAGATGAAAATATTTGATCATGATACTGGGAAAATTTATCTTTCATTTTTATTTTTTAACCATATGCTATAATTTGTCACCAAAGTAAAACTATTGTTCTTTTTGGCATGCAACATGTTCTGGATTGAAATAGCACAGTTTTACAAGATCACTACAATTTGGCCCATTTATGATTGCATTTGTTAGTGGATAAGAGTTCATAGATTTCTTGTTTGAATGATGGGTGTTCTAAAGTTACCCAAGATCAATCTCAAAATAATAAGTAATTGAAGGCTGTATGCAAGAACGTCCCCTAGATTTTTCGGCCATTTTTGAAAGTGCTTAAAACTAGCTGAATTTTGGCATTTTTGACTTTAAGACAGCTAAGATTCAGTGGAATACACTATAAACAGTCTGCCTGTTTGCTGTTCAACAAACTAATAAGGTTTCTTTTGTTTTTTGTTCAACAAAAGATCTCCAAAAGATGCTGCTTGGAAAACTGAGCTTTTTGCATACGTTCTTTCTTGAGAACGAAGAGCGCCCCAGCCAAAAAAAATTCAGAGCAATGTTTCTCCGGTAAAACGAAGCCTACATGCCAAAATTCAGCTATTTTTGAACACTTTCAAAATGGCCAAAAAATCTAGGGCACATTCTTGCACGCAGCCTTTCAATTTTGTTAACATTAATTATTTAGGATTTCATCTTCCTTAAGCTTAGTAGTTTAATTCTGAAAAAAATCTAGTTGTTTTCGGAGTATCACTTGTGTATTGAAACTGAAAAAAGGTGATTGGTCATTCTTGTGGAATAAGGCCCACTGGATTTGAGAGAACACAAATAATTAATTTTTTTTCCTCTATCGACTTGTGATTCTGGTTCTCTAAAACATTGCACTTGTGTTACAATAGAGAACCATGAAAAGTGTTTTCTAGTTTGTAATACCAAATTTACATAACTAATTTATTTATTGAGTTCTTTCCTACTCCTACCAAAAGCAGCGTCTGTATTTATTTAATTGCAAATGTTTGCCAAAGTTAATCATGTGGTCAATCTAAAAGGAAAAAACAGATTGCAAGCATCTTTATTGACGAAAAAGGCTTCCATTCGCTTATTTTTGTTCTTGATGAAGGGAGCTTTCCAAGTTCCATGTTGGTTTCACAAATGATGAATTTCTCAAAATGTACCTCACGTTTATTGCTCTCAGCAGGGTACTTTTTTCGGGCCGTGGAAGAGACTTTCTCACAACATAATATGGAGTATGGGCTTTCAGAAAATTTTAGCTTCAACTTCAAATTCAATGTACCAGTGGGCTTTTGATGGTAGTGAAATTAGCTAAAATTAGCCCTTTCGCTCACAAGCTTCGATGAAGGTACTTGTATCAGCCTAAAATATTATAACACTTGGAGCTGAACAACTCACTATAGAGGTTATTTGGGCAAGATATGAAGAAATCCAAAATTTTGCAACTGTCATCTCATTTTCAGTATTTACAGGAATTGACTCTTAATTCTGTACCATACACTGTATTTACTCAAACAAACACTGTCTACAAATGAACTACACTTTTGGGATGAAAAAGTTAATATGCACTGCCCTTGAATAAGCACTGCGGTACTGATTGTGCACATATTTGAGGAATTCCCTACAAAGTAACTTAAAACAGTATCAGAAAAATCTTCATCGAAAGGAATGTTGTAGAAGGGAGAGTGAGATCGAAGTTAAGTGAAGACACCACTGGTAGGTAAAAAGGTAAAGTTTGCATTAGAGCCAAGCAGCCCATCAGTCTGGTGTTTATCCCAGTTTCCTTAGTATGAAGTGACTAGGAGTATTTCTACTCCCCCCCTGGATGGGATGCTAGTCCATTGCAGGATTATCCCCAGCAGTAAATTCATTGGTACCCATTTATATACCTAGGTGGAGATAGGCTTTAAGAGAGTAAAGTTTCTTGCCCAAGAACACAATGCAGTGCCCCAGTCAAGGCTTGAACCTGGACCGCTTGATCCAGAGTCCAGCACACTAGCCATTTAGCCACCATGCCTTCCACAACACCACTAGTACTGGTAATTAAACAATTGAAAAGTGTCAGAAAAGACAAATGCTGACAATCACAAGACACTTTGTTACAAACTAAAATTTTCTTACAGATAGAATACACCATTATATTAAAAGAAAAGATTTCTTTGTGGCATCCAATTCATTTTGTAATCAGTGCAGCCCTCAAATAAGATGCTGCAGTCGAATAAGTGCTGCACTTCAGGTTTAAACAATTTAAATAAGCACAGTGGTTTATTCTTGTAAATATGGCAATCAACTTCACTGAGAATTTTTAGGAATAAACTCACCTTTTGTATATTCCATTGGTAAATAGAGATCTCTTCATCGAGTTGTGGCTGACCTTGACAAGCCATGGGACCTCAAGTAGTGAAAACTACACGTACTACCACCAATTTGCCTTTTCTAAAGATGAATGACATTTTATTAATAAGTCATTAACAAACAAAATAATCTGTATTTCAGGTATGCATATACATACACAATTTACTTGTATGTCAAAATAACATTTTTAGACAGAAGTTTTCCAATGAACACAGTTGATCGAAGGAGCTACAGAAAGTCCCTGGTTCATCAATGTTCAAGCTGTTAATTAACATCAGCAATCAGTAGTATGAAACATAAGGCAAATTGTTACTGCTGCATGGATGGGGTGCAGTAGTACATCACAGGATACCCCAAATATTTTGTTAGCATGCCCTAGCAATTTGTTGGTACCCAGTGAGTGGGTGGATTGAGGAAATGTCCCTGGGCAGGGCTCCAACCAGACCAGTCAATCCAGTCCAGGTCACAAGACCACCACCTCTTCCCATCCCCAGACAAATTAACTGTTTTACATGTATGGGTTATTGACCAAGTGTGAGGTCAAGATGGCTGGATATTGGCCAAGTTCTTTTTTTGCGTG